TGGCTCACTTGGCTAATTCTCTGCCTGTGGCGCTGGCACCCCGGGTTCTAGTCCGGGTTGGGACACCAGTCCTCTTCCAGTCCAGCTCTCTGCTGTGGCCCAGGAGGGCAGTGGAGGATGGCCCAGGTGCTTGGGTCCCTACACCCGCATGGGAGACCAGGAGGAAGTACCCCACTCCTGGCTTTGGATTGGCACAGCGCCGGCCGTGACGGCCACTGGGGGAGTGAACCAACGGAAGACATTTCTCTCTGTCTCTCTCTCACAGTCAATAACTCTGTCTCTGTCTCTCTCTCTCACTGTCTAACTCTGCCTGTCAAAACATAAATAAATAAAAATAAATGTTAGATTCATTCCTGTTTTTAAAAAACTTATTCCATCAGAGAATACTTTCAAGGTAAAATCTTCTCTGAGCCTAGACTAGCTTTGGAATAATCCTAGATTTCTTAGAGGCCCTGTAAAGTATCTTACCCATATAGCATATATTTGGAGAGGAGAAAAAAGTTGCCTTACTTCCTAGTGGAAGGTTCTAATGATCACTATTCAATTGGCCAGAATATAAAGGTGTATGTAAGGGAGGAAATGGGAATTGACACTTGGAGCTAATAAAGAAGAGAGGGAGGGAGGCACCCAGGCAGAAGGAGAGAAGGATGTGGAGCTATAGTATTGGCCGGAAGAAATCCCAAGCTGTTCAACAGGAAAGAAGATTTGGGAAGGCAATGTAGAGTTCCATGGAGGGACACGAGAGAGGAGCAAATGAAATTCACTTGCTCCCTGTGGAAAGGTGGGAAGAAGCAGTCTGAGTTTGTGTGCTTGTGAACCTTAGTTGTCCCACTGCAAAACCAGAAGCTGTGGGAAATTCTCATGCAGTTGTTCTCCTAGAACCACATTAGGAACCAATGCAGACCCAGCTAACACATCAGGAAGCTGTACTGGCAGCAAACAGATTCTGTGCTAATGTGACTTGAGGGCAAAACTTAATGCCTCCACTCTATTTGAATTTTTTTGTTGTTTGAAAGTACATATAGGTTATTTATAGTCCACCAAATAAACCTGAGGGTCTTTTAATAAACTCATAGATTATGTTGCTCAAGGGAGTTTATTGAAATAATATCTGAATTCGCCCATGACAATGACATTCTATGAGTTTATGGCGCTTTCCCTTGTGGAATAGGATTTCCCACCTTACCCCAGGGTGTCTGTGTAGCATTTCAACATGTAGAAGATGAAAGAGTTACTTTAGGTTGGCATACCAACTTCTCTCATGTTTTTTAAACAAAAGCACAGACCAAAGCAGGTAGAGAGTAACTGATAAAAAGAAAAAAAAGGAAAAAAAGGAGCAGAGACCAACCAAAGCAGGCAACTTCAAACTCTTTGGCTAACATCTGGTGGGGGTGAGGGTGGGGGCACGGAGGAAAGTGAGGTTTGTATCTCATAGTCATCTTTGAGGATATCACTTTTTTTTTTTGGTTAGAATATTAGGGATTTAGGGAGTTTGGCTTGGATCTAATCCAAGAAAGAGCAGGAAGGACGTAAAAACCCATGTCATCATAGTCAGAAGCTTTGATTTCAGCCACATTTATTTATTCTCTGATGCACCTGAAGAACTCACAGTTGTCTAAAAGTAAGAGATTATATTTCCCACCGTGCACTGCACCTCGATGGTTTACCCTCATGCTCCCACAGGTACCATCTCTTTCAGAATTATGGTTGTTTCCCTTTTCATACAATTAAACCACTTCACTACCTTGTATTGCTTGAAATCCCCAATTCTAGAGATTTCTCCAGGACTTTTGTCCATTTTACCTCTTTATTTCCACCCCCTGATCAGTACTCAGACCCCAAATTCCCCTCATCCCTGTCAGAGGGCCTTCCTGGATCCAGTTGTCTCTTCAAAACTCACTCTCATTCGAAATTTCATTTAAAATCTCTAGCCTGTAATCATTACTCATTTCTCCCTTGGTTGCCATTTATTTAACTTTATAGTGACATTTCCTAACTCCATAAAGGCATCTGAGGTTACAACCTTTAAGAAACACACATGATTCTATTGTATTATTACTTTTTTTTCCAAAGGAGAACATAGCCAGAAAAGAACAATAGAGGATTGTTTTCTTATAAATAGGATAAATTAATAACAAAATCATGGAGACCTTAGAGCAAAACAGAATTTTTAAAAACCATCTTGTCAAAGACCGTCATTTTATACTGAGCAAACAGTCTCCAAGAGTTGGAATTATTTTCACAAACTCGCATGTAGGAGTTGGGTTGTTTAGCTCTCATTCCAGCCTTCTTGCCACCCCACCATGCTGCCCTTCTGAGATGCAGTCGTCTCTTGATACTCATGAGGGATAGGTTCCGTGGATACCAAAGTCTGTATCTGTTCAGTTCCCTCTTATAAAATGGCGTTGTATTCGCATACAGCCTCCCATAAACGTAAATTCATCTCCATATTACTTGGAATATCCAAAACAATGTGAATGCTGTGTAAAGAGTTGTTATGCTGAATTGCTTAAAGAGTAATGCTAGGCCAGCACCGCGGCTCACTAGGCTAATCCTCTGCCTGCGGCGCGGGCACACTGGGTTCTAGTCCCGGTCGGGGCGCCGGAGTCTGACCCAGTTGCCCGTCTTCCAGGCCAGCTCTCTGCTGTGGCCCGGGAGTGCAGTGGAGGATGGCCCAAGTCCTTAGGCCTTGCACCTGCATGAGAGGCCAGGAGAAAGCACCTGGCTCCTGCCATCGGATCAGCGCGGTGCGCCATGCTGCAGTGCTCCGGCCGCGGCAGCCATTGGAGGGTGAACCAATGGTAAAGGAAGACCTTTCTCTCTGTCTCTCTCTCTCGCTGTCCACTCTGCCTTTAAAAAAAAAAAAAAAAAGAAAAAGAAAAAAAAAGAGTAATGCTGAGGAAAAAGTATGTTCATTACAGACATGATTTTTCCCCTTGGGTATTTTCTGAGGTTGCTTGAATTCAGCGTGCAGAACAAAGACTGTGTTGCTTTGAACTGAGTGTGAAGTAATTGTGGCAGGGCATTTGGGCGAGCTATTGCTAGAGTGCTATTATTCATTCAGTAGGTATTACTAAACAACTACCATGAGCACTGAGGTGGTACCAGGAGTGCACGAGGAATGCTCCGTGTCTCTCCCTCATGGAGCTTACATTTCAGTGAAGGAGACGAGTGAAATAAATGAGGGACTATCTAGTGCCAGGTAGTGATATGGGCTGTGAAGAGAAATGAAGCAGTGTAAAGGAATGGAAAATGAATGACAAGGGTGCGTAGTTTGGGTAGAATGGCCAGGGTGTACCCATTTGAGGAGGTGTAATTTGAGCAGAGGTCTGAATGAAGTAAAGGAATACTTTGGAAGCAAAGTGAACAGAGGTGCAAAAGCTCCCAAGAAAGAATACAAAGATTATCATTTTGAGAATATGCGCATAAATCTCAGAGTTAGTTGTGGAGGTTTTCAGTATATATCAATGAACCAAAATCACGAACATTTGAATGTTAACAATTATACCACTAGGGGTGAATTGAACTAGATTTATTAGTTGTCCATTTCATTTGTTCGTTAGCTCTGTTGTAAGGAAATAGGACACATCTTTCTTGCTGCAAAGACACATTGAGAGAAAATAATTTTTGAATGTGAAAATTTCATAACTAAACAGAACCATCCTAAAAATCTAGGTTTAGCTTTTAGTTAAGTGGTTCTGTCAAAGACACAAATTATGTAACTGGCAGAACCTACTGTTTCTTTGGAAATCAGTACTAACTTTCATGTTGTAACCCAAAGGGATGCCACAGGAGGCTTTTATGAAGTCAGTAAATGGCCTCATAGAAAGAGATCCACACTAGGGAAGTGAGGGGAGGTTTGGGCATAAGCTATTACTGTTTTTGTAAACCTATGCCTTGGGATTCCAGATCCCCTAAGAAGGAAAAGGCTAGACCATTTTGACCTTTCTAGCCTATTGCAAAGTCATTGCTGAGCTCTTATTTGAATAGCTTGGGGTAGAATAATGTTCAACTCAGCTTCCTGGAGCTGCATTTGAAATGCAATTAATTGACTGCTGTTAGTTGTCAATTAACATTTATTATCAATTAGTTCATCAAATTGATTAGTTGGCAGGACCTTAAAGTCTAAATGCACTCCTTTCCATTATAAATATGTCTATAAGAGTAAAAGCTACTCACTAATTGATGTCAAACTGGAATTGCTTATGTTGGACTTGAGTCTTATCCATATTGCATTTTAAAATCTATACCAAGTGAACTTGGATAATACATGTAAGTTTCACACTTTCAAAATGTGCATGTCAGTGTTGTTTGTGTTTGGGCAGTAATCAGTAAATATGCCAGATTTAAATTTTTACTGATGTGAGAATAATAAATAAATAATATTTAGCAGAGCTTGTTTTTTTTATATTCACATGTCTAGAAAGATTTCACTTTAGAGAAAAACATTGTTTCTGTGTTGCTGAAATTTTTGCGTACATTTAAACCTTGTCTATATAGTTTTCTACATTTTGTGGGTCAAGTAATGTCAGGATGTAAGGTCACAATAGCTATCTAGAGGAAGGCAAAATAAAAGTTTGTATAATTTGCAACCACTTCTATTTGGGAGACAGATACACATTATCATGTTCCATACCACAAAAGGTTTCTAGAATATATTCAGCCTTCCATGCCATCATGCATTGTATTCATTCTCAAAAGATTAATAAATAGACTTTTTAAATTCTCCCTTCTATCTCCACCTTTTATAAACAAACATGGAAACAAACAACAACACAAACTCAGACATACTACCATTTAAAAAGACTTGTTTTTGTTTAGGGGAACAAGCCACTTACAGACAAATGTTTAGGATTCAGCATATGAAATTCTGTCTTCTCTATTGTACAACTTGAGACGAAGGATGTAGCAAAACTGTAAATTGTACCTCCTATCTATTTAACAAAGCAGCAGATACCTACAAGAGAATATTCATTTTTTATTGCCTTTGTGCAAGAAGATAATTCTTGCCTCCTCCCACCCCAAATTGTGACCTAAATATGGCTGAAAGACACAACATGTGACCTGCTTAGTGCTGCCTGTCATGGCCTCGAGCCACAGCAGGAACTCTATTAGAGGGAACAGCACAGATGCTACCAGATGGCCAACATATTGTCCAGAGATGACCCATGTATAATTGCAGAAAGTTCAATACATTCAGGTTTTGAATTTAATTGCATTGACCACCTTACCTACTGCTGCTGCATGCTTTAATTTATTTAAGGTGGAAACATGGTTTAACAGACAGTGAGGGAACTGCTTGAAGTGTTATCTTTGTGCCTTTTGCCAAGCATCAACTGCCTAAAGGTGGGATTCCAGGTGTTTCCAGATACTTGAACTATGAGCAATTTATGACACATTTGCTTGGCTTCCATTATTTGGGTAGAGAGTGTTGGTTTTGAATCAACTTGGCAACAGATCACTTTGCCCCAATGCACATACAATTAATTTTCATAATTTTGGCTTTGGGGGGGTGGGAGAAGGAGGAGATGGATGGGGTGTGATTGCTATGCTATCCTTCACTGGGTCTCTTGTGCAAAAAGCTGGTTGAGTTTCAGTTATGTTGCCTCACCCCACCCCCACCCCCAGAAAATTTAATTCTAATAATGTGAGCTGCCAGTGGGTGAGCTAGTTCTTCTGAATTTATATTTCCAGTAGCATAATACTTTATTTTTGGGTGGGGAATATTAAATTGTTTGTACTGCATATGTGAATATATAGCCACTTAAAAACAAGAATCTAGGCTACAGTTACTATGGATTTTGAACCTTTCTTTCCAAAGAAAAATGGTAATTATATATTATATGGGGATAGAGAACTATTGTTTCAGTTTCCTTTTGCAGGCTGTTATTTCTTAAAATGTTTCTGCTAAGCAAATGTAATCACGATGGCATGCGTTATTAATTCAAAATAGCTTCTCAAATGGCTCAAGCTCTGGGATGGCAGCATGTCTGTTGCGATGTCATTTGTCATAATTCTTTGCTCTTATATAGTGCCTTTTCTCCAAGCCACTCACATACTACATTTGCTTTGTATCTATATTCAAGACAAAAGATAAATCCTCATTTTGCTAGAACTTTCCAATCTATTGCATCTTTTCATATTTACACTGTAGACCATCTACTGATAGGTCTGATTGGTTTCCCTGATATGTCCTAGAAAAAGAATTCATGAAATTGTCAAGGAAAATTATATTCCACTGGTATAATCTGATTTGAGAATGAATTTAATGGTGGAAGCCATTTTACAATATGCTCAATAGTGTTTTTCTGACACTTGCCATCATTAATTATGCTTTACAAAGTACTACTTCCTGTTTAAAATCTGAATCTAAGTCATTTGCACCACAGAAGTACATTTTAAACGTTTCAAATAACCTTTACCTTTTGAATAAGGGTATGTTTTACACAAAACAGTTAAATGCAGAGCCTTGCGTTAAAAAACTAATTACAGAATTAAAAAGATATCCCAAATCACTGTTTTGTAATTTGGACTTGCTGATAAGCTTTTCACGATGTCACAAACCTGATTGGGTAGTATCCCTTTAAAAGCAGAATGGCAGCTGCTGTCAAAATGGAATGCACCCCCAAAACTTGCTGTTTATTCATATCCCAGTTAAAGCTGAAACAAACAACTGAAACTAATCACGCTTGAAGTTGGGTATCGCCTTTGTGAGCTTTATGAGCCTATTTTTCTGAAATTAGAAATTGCCTGAGTGAAATGTTTCTAGCTAAACTGCTTTCTACTGAAGTCATGATTTTTACAGTCAGATAAATGCCCCTTAAGCTCCATTTATGTAAGCGTCAGTGACATCCAGTGGCTAGCAGGCTGATCACAAGTACAACTCCCCGCAGCGCGAGGGGCCCATGGTAAGGCGATGGCACTGGTATCCGCTCTGCATTTGGTGATCCTATTTCTACTCAAGGAAGTTGGTTTTACCGAATGTGTTGCTCTGATTAGGGCGACTAAACATTCTACTCAGAACTTTGAAAGCGAACTGATAGAAATGAGACTTGAAATTTGGAAATAAAAATGCACATAGGGGCTACACAGGAAAATACTACCGCTTGGAAAACATAATTAGCATCTTCACTAAACCTGACGCTTGGAACTCTGCAGGTGTTATTTAGAAATGATCATCAGGGAGCTTACCCAGCTTTCAGTTACACAAAGAGGACTTGTAAATTCTAGCGAGATTGGTTCATTATGCAGAGTTGGATGATGTTACTGTTAGTGTTTCAAACACATATGCTTCATAAAATGGTCCACCTTAATTTGAAAAAGGTATTACTTGCAATTATGTCAGCTACATAAATTTATTTGCAGACAGTCAATTCATATTGATCATAACACGACCTCACGATGACCTTGAGGAAAGGTAGTCTGTGACGGGTATAGATATTGGGATCAATACCAGAGTGCAATCGACTACACCTAGTTACTGATAAATGAAGTAAAAAGGTACACTCTTTTCAGAAACAAAGATAATAACAGCTCATTTAGTCAACTGTTTGCGAAGGTTTAATACTGATACATGTAGTTATAATGACATCCCCGGGCATTTTCAAATGGCAGAAAACAATAGGGTGCAGAGTCACTGAGCACATTAAGTAGAAAGAATCATTACTTTCCAACTCCAGATAAGAAATTTCACAATATTTATGTCAACATTGCTGAGAACAAGGGCATTCTCGGAGCGGTACAGAGATAGACCGCGATTCCAACAGCAAGGGGCTGTTTGCTGCAGTATGGCTCTCTGTGTGCCAGGCCTTGTGAAACGAAGCACCCTATTATGTGAGAACAAAGCCTCCAGGACCACACATTGTACGTTAGTACTACCCTCTCTTGCACATTTGCAGCAGAATTAGCTTGCCTATCCACAGGTATAACCAACTGTAATCATGAGGAAGAGAGCATTTGGTCTCAGCGCATCTGCTCCATGTTGATGCATTCCCCTCTGCTGTGGAAAGTTGAAAGGAAGGATGTTAGCAAAAATTCCCCCCAATTGTTCCTTTCTCTTTGCTGGGAATTCCACAGAGTGAGCACTTGGCAAGTTATGCAGAACCTAAGTAAATAGAGTCCATTGGCAAAATGGTAACAGGTTGTGCAGCTTAATTGGAGGAGAGAAGTTCAGGAGCCAGCCCGGTGTCTGCTGCACCCAGTTGGTAAATTGTGCCTGTGGTGAGAACAGAGTGATTCTGCAGTAAGCTCATTTTGGGTAACTAGTCAGCCTGCTACTGCGAGCCAAGAAATATGAGGATTTGGTTTCAGTGTGTTTTTCTTTATTCTTTTTTTCTGTGTAAAATATATTTCTATATCTTGAGCTTTGTTTATCTTTTGCCAGTATAATTTTAAGAGATCGGTGCCAGCACTCTGATATTGTCTTCCTGAGGGAGAGAAACGCTGAGAGACATTTGTGGCTATTAAAACCTGCAAACAGAAGGAGAAGGATCTGTTAGCATTGATTCCACTTGAATGTCTCCCCTGAATGCTTAACTTTCTTCCTTGATCCCTACGGCTAATCTCCTGGTCACATTTCTGGAGCCACATTGCTTTTCACAGTCTTCCCATTTTGCGTGCCACCATGTCATTTGCTACTTCCTTTGCCTCTTCTACTTTCATGAAGCTGTTTATTAATAAACCTGTGTTTTCAATATGATGCTACATCAATAAACCTCCGAGTGGTTCCGTTAGTCAGCATTCTGGGAAATCCTATGCTATATTGGAGAACTGTAAATCTCCATTATTGCTTCCCATAGCACAAATAAAGAATACCCTCTTACCTCCAGGACATCCCTAGCTTGTTTTTAAGGGGGAATGCCTATTCTCACGTAGGCACTGTGAGGTGCTGAACTTGTGTGTATCAGCAAGCTGAACATCACTGCCCTTGAAGATACCCTGAAACACCTATAATTAAGGAACAGGCTAATTTAAGGTATTAAGAACCAAATTACTTCAGTTAGCTTCAGTCTTCGTTTTTCCTGAAACCTTTAACCAAGCTAGTGGGACAGGAGGATTCTGGACTTCAGAGCTCTGTTCTGCAGCTGTGTTATCCCATTTCCAGTGTGTTATTAGCTGTCACAAAGAAAATATCAGTAATTAGACAGATAAGAATAGACTTTTAGATACCTTTTTGGTATCTGGCAAAAAGAGTAGAACAATCTTTGTTGTTTATACCAACTAAAAGCCTTTTAGTATTTACTATTTAAGACAAAGATGATAAAAGCACTTCTAAACAACCCCCCAAAAAAGGGTTTGGCCAGGGAAAGGTGTATCTTCTTTCAATTTTTATGACTCCCCCAGGGAAAAGCATAGCGGAGGTCAGAAGAGGAAAGTTCTGTGCAGTGAGGCCTAGAAGCTTGGAGAACTGGAAACTTGCTTGGATGCTAAGCCTGGGTATCCTTGGAGAGGATCCCTTCAAAAACTATAAATGGCTTATATTTGTTTATTTTAAGAAAATTTTAAGGGGCTGGTATGGTGGCATAGTAAGTTACATTGCTGTATTTGATACCCACATCCCATATGGGTGCCAGTTCACATCCTGGCTGCTCAACTTCCAATCCAGCTCCCTGCTAATATGCCTGGGAAAGCAGTAGAAGATGGCCCAAGCACTTGGGCCCCTGCACCCATGTGGGAGACCTGGAAGAAGCTCCTGGCTCCTGGCTTCAGTCCAGCAGTTGTGGCTAATTGGGGAATGAACCAGTGAATGGCAGATCCCCACGTCAACCCCCCACCCACCCAACTCCCTGTAATTCTGCCTTTCAAATAAATACATAAATCTTCACAAAAATTTTAAAAAACAGATACAGAAATCTCAAGAAAAATTCCTTAGCATTGGTCCAGAAATCCCTGACCACCCTGACAAAGGTGTGTTTCTATCTGGCATCCTCAGCTCCCTATATGACAGGTTCTCTTCTTTTGGGGATGCCACAAGCCACTCTGTGACTACCTTGCCTTGCCAACATCTACTGCTCTGGCTCCGCCACATTCCTAGAGATGTCATTAGATGGTCCAAACCTATCAGTTTTTGCTGCCTACCTTCTACTTTGTGTTCTGATTTCATTTTTGGAAAGAATCATCTCTGAGAATTGAGAGCTGTCAGCTCTTTCCAGGGCCCCATGAATTTCCTAGTAATCAGTGAATCTCTACTGACTCCACCTGGGCCAACCTACCCTTGCTGGTCTCTGGCTTGCTTCTTTAGCTGGTCTTGCACTGCTCTTGTTCAAAATTTTTCTTTGATGTTTCTTGTCAATTATATGTTTTTTTTTCCCCTACCTCCTCTTAGAAACTGCTATGGCTCTATTGTTCTAGGACTTAGCATACTAGCATCTGATATGAATCTACCTCTTGGGCAATTCCACACTCCAGTGGCCCTCCAACCCACTTCTCCATTAACATAGTTGTGTGTTATTCGATTGTAATGATTCTATGTGTTGATATGTTATTCAATTGGAGTGATTCTATGTGTTGGATTGTCTAATGATGAAACCTTGGTGGATACATTGATGATTTCATGGCATGTAAGTGACACTCGCATTGTAATAGGGAAAATATGAAACCTGAAAGACTTTCTCAATAGCGAGGTGGATGGACATTATTTTTAGACACTGGTGCATTTTTTGTGTAGCCTACTCTAATACAGATATGTGTAAAGTCAGCCAACTACAGCTTGATATCCCAGTAAGTCCACACATGCCTCACACAGGGCAGAATGATAGCAGTAAAAGAAGATGGCAGAGTGGATTTTAACTGAAGGCCACAGGCAGGCATTCCAGATAGGCACTCTTTGGTTTAGACCCTGAACCTTGCTGGATTTCAACATACCTATGTTCAACTATCTCAACTTGTGAGAAGTTGCATCCTGAATTGTACCTTCTGGTACTTCAACATCATTGTAAGTAAGTGAGATTCCTCTGCTGGGGGTCCCTTACTGAGAGAGGGAAAAATCATCCTCAGCGAGAGATGGAATAGTAAGGGAAGGAAACTCTTGTTTGCACTGTTCATCCTAGCTGTGCCATGGAAGTGGGAACATGCAGCATACATGGCCATTTTTCTTTGACTCATAGCTTTTGTTTTTTCTATTGTCCTGAATTCTGAGACTAGGACCCCACATGTTTTAAGACAAAGGTTTTTTTTTTGTTGTTGTTGTTGTTTGTTTTTTTTTTTTTAAACAAGAGCAAATATTGAACTTATCACCAAGTGAAATTGGAATGCCTTAGGTAGATTTTCTGCCAGGGCCCACCAGCTGAAAAATACCTTAGATATATTTTTAAAGTTATATAACTGCAAAATTTATAACACTTCACTGTATTAATTAATTTTGAATAACAACTGAACTCTTATGCAAGTGCATATGACATTCATGGTAATGCCAAATTAATTCTTTATGATCAGTGCTATTGCAATCAATACTAAGTGAATTCATAATGATAAGATACTTAAAATAAAGAGTTACCACAAAAACAATAAAAAGACCATCATCATCCAAGCTATAGCACAGTAATAAAGTATTAGCTCAATAAGCTGGTACTATCCATGACAATCAATGGTAGATAGTTAATTTATTTCTGCTTGCCCATGTCTTGCCTTTCCTGTAAAGGCTATGCAGAAACATAGTACTTTGATTCTACTGTAAATTATGTACTCAGGTTCTCATTATTAAATAATTTTTCTGTAGCTTTTACATGTCACCTCTCTGCTGAGGAACTCAAGGCACTATATATACACAAAATTACATTCCAAATGGATTCCTTCCTTCAAAAGAGAACATGTGCTTCTGTTTTACCCTTCTCTTTCTTTTTCAATCTTCTCTTTCTCTCTTTCATAGTTGAAGACCTATGCAATGAGTATGGAATTAAAAAAAAAAAAAACCTAGAGGATGGCTACACTAGTCTTTACACTTTCACTGTTTCATTTTATTGGTGCCCAAAGAAATTGTAACATGGAAATTAATGACTATCGTATCTGTCCTTTACAGAACATCACAGAACCAATCTGTAATGAAAAAGCAATAAAATCCTTCTCTAGCTTCTCCCTTCTTTTTCTTCCCTCCCTTCTTCCCTCCCTCCTTTCCTTCCTTCCTTATTACCTTTCTTCCTTATCTTCTTTCTTCTATCATAAGACTGACAAGCAAATTCCACATGTCAGGTATGTACTGGGCCATGGAAATAGGGACAAAAAAGTATGATACTTGCCTTCTAGCTTAGACAGAATTATGAAAATAGTACTAGGTTTGGTATCAGATTTACATCAAATCTTAGCTTTTTAATTTGTTTGCTATTTGATTTTGGCCAATGTGACAGGGAGAAATTTTCTTTTACATTGTTATTTCTTAAGAACTTGGGATGATGTACTTCCCAGTACCTTTGCATTTAGAGAGAGTGTGTGACTAATGCTGGATGGTGAATTATATGTAGCAATATGTGTCATTTTGGGGATAGTCTGTGAAACACTCCTAAGTTTTCATTTCTATTCTCCAACTTACAAGAACACTTCATGTTGAGGTGGTAGACCAACAGGATAGAAATAACACAGAATTCTGAGCTGCTATGACTCAGACAGGTTTCTATAGAGAAGCATAACTAGTAAGATGGATGGATGGATGGATAGATGGATGGATGGGTAGATAGATATATATAGATAGATAGATAGATTTATCATGGGAATCGACATGTGATTAGGGAAGCCAAGAAGTCCCATGATTTGCTGTTTGCCACCTGGAGAAGCCCATGGTGTAATCCAGTCCAATTTGAAGAGCTAAGAACCAAGGGAACTGATGGTAGAAGTCCTGGCCTGAGTCTGAAGGTTCAAGAACCAAGAGATTCAATGTGCAAGAGCAGAACATGGATGTCCCAGCTGACACACACACACACACACACACACACAGAGAAAGAAAGAGAAAAAATTCCCTTCCTCTGCCTTTTTGTTCTGTTTAAACAGGCAGGATTCAAAGAATTAGATGAGGCCCAGCCACACTGGTGATGAGTAGATCTTCTTTATTCAGTTTGGTGATTGAAATGCGGAGTCTCTTCTGGTACCACCCTCACAGCCGTGCTCAGAAACAGTGTTATCAGATATTTAAGTACCCCTAAACTCTGACAAGTTAACACTAAAACAAACCATCACACATTCATTGCAAGGACAACTGCCAAAGAAAGTTACCCAAACTGTGGGGAACACTATGTGGTGGAGAAACAAATTTTGTGTTTCTTTTGGGATCACTTTGTAGAGTGTGATTCTTACATATCCTAGCTGAATAGGCACGTAATCGCTATGCGTATGTTTCCTCATCACAAATCAGCAGTAATATGTTTCCTACCCCCATAAGTTACTGAGAAAATCAAATAAGATGATAAATATATGGGAAGTTTTGCTTCCATCTAATGGTCTCTGTTAATTTAGGTTCTGACTTCATTTTCTGCCCACTTACCATAAGAGTTGGTTTGTTGGCTTTCTCTTTCTGAGAACAAAAATTCCATCCTGGTACAAGATGGCATTTTAAGACATCCTTTAATGAAGATGGAGTTTCAAGAATTTCTTTGTTTGTATTTTAAACTGAGCAACTGTACAGGCTCCCACAATACCTTTGGCCCTGAAGCCTTGAGTTGTTACTGTTGAAATCACTAGTTTAAATGAATAAGCCCTACACATGTGCAGATCAGTATTATTACAATAAATCCATAATACTATGCTAAATCAGTATTATAAAATTAACCTAGGATATATGAATTCGTTTTTTAATATAGTCATTTATTCACTCAGTTGATATTTATTGAATGCCTACTATGTACTAGGAACTGTCATAGGCACTGGGCATGCAATGGTGAAGAAGGGAGTTGCTTATGTTTCTGATCTCATAAAGATTACATCTTAGAAGCAGGAAAAAGTCAACAAAAATTAAGATTAGGAAAAGTATAAAAATAGTAAATAGTGACTGAACATGGAATGAGTCATTATTTTGTAACAGTAATTAGAAAATACTTTGAGCCAATGATGACATTTGCATGAACTGGAATGGTGAGAGGAGGTCTACTTGATCTATTTTAGACAATCTAGGCATAATGCCTACAGCTAAG